GAGAGAGAGAGAGAAAATTGCGATACGCGCGAGGTAAGCCCCGGCTATCTACTATGTGTATCTGCTGTTTTTAACTTCGCCGTCGCGACAATTAACGAACGTCGGATCGACGGGTCGGCGTGCTGTCGCGCAATTCGCCGTCGATGCCGCGATTGCGCCGGCGAAACGCGTCAAAACGAGACAGTACGAGAATTTCCGAAATCGAATAAACGAGACAACGGCAGCCGGGTGGATCGACAGAAACCGAAATTGGCGAAGGAGAGAAATGACGCTTGATAAGCGTATCTTGGAAAAAAAAACTCGGCGAGAGAGCCGAATATCCGGTGTTCATCGTTATTTTCCTCCTTTTTTGCCATTTTTCTACGTTTCTACAATACCGCTATGGATACATTGTATGAATAAAGTTGGAATCTGGACACGAGAGACGCTTTATACGCGAAAATAATTTTGATGAATAAGTGTTAATTTTTTTCATGCCAATAATAAATCATGCGGTATCACACTTTAATATCAATATACTTATATGCAAAGGTATTTAATATTCTTTTTAGAAGTCACAACGTTCTATTAAATTCTGTTTCTATTCCAACAATGTTAATTCATAAAATACTTTCCGTAATGTGAAAATCATTGGAGAATGGCTTCTTTCTTTCTTGAGTTATTCTAAGCACCAGTTTACACTTAAAATTTCAACATATTCGCTCTGATGCAGAAACAATATTTTACGCCTTGCGTTCTTATCGCCTGCATTTACAGCGTCCCATAAGCACGCGCAAAGGCATCATCATAACTCGCACACATATAAACGGATTTTCCTGACAAAGACAAACTACCGCGGAAAGAACAAGGACAATGTAACGGCGGATGTTTCTTCCTCAGCGGTGCACTGTTGCGGCCCGCTTACGTCGAGGCATTGACGTGAGATTGCACGGTGACAGCTAATTTCCAGTAACGTGGGCAAAAAATTATTCTGCCAATAAATGCTGTTTACCATCTTGCCCCGGTTAACGCACGATTCAATTTCATTGTAATGAATAACCCGGGTCTCCCCCATCTCGCTGACCCCTTGTGCGCAAAAAGCCGATCTGACTCTCAGCTATCGAAAAACAATTAAACGGATAAAATATCGGCAAACATTGCTCGATAGACGGCTGATATTTTATCAGTTGCTCGGGCAACCCGTCGGCATCTCGTTGGACGATAAGCGTATATTGCAAGGGTTGCAATAAATTGTGTGGCATCTAATCAGATTAAGAAGCTTCTTAATTTAAGTTCATAGTTGTTACATATTTAAAATGACAGACTGAATCGATTTCATCTTTTATAAAAAGCTGAACTGCTGTTTAATAGATAATTTTTATAGTTATGAGAATATTAATGTAATGTACACATAAATTGAGTTACATAAGAAAGATATTGGTTTTAAGAGATGATATAAAGGATAATTGAATATCATAACATAACTGTTAATAGAAATATAGATAAAGTTTATTCGATAACATTATTAAATCTTTTTATTTAAAGTTACATTATTTCTTACAAAAAATGAGTGGATAATGACAATCATCAATATTTCACTCGTATGCAAAAGAAGCGTTATATTATTATAAATTCTGGAAAATAATAAATTTTTTTTTAAATAGTCTATATAAAAATGATTCCAATGATTCCTTTGATTTTTATTATTTTGTTACTCTTTAAAGAGAGACTTAAAATTTCAAAATAAAGATTAATATAATATATTTGTTATATTTATGGCTCGTTATCTTATTTAGAAAATTAAAAAATCTTGAAACCAGATAATATTTTAAAGACAATTTAGCATATTAACTGAGATTCTTTGATAAAATCGAGATATTTATAAATATTAGTATAAACATCAGATACACCTAAAGCGCAAGGCAAAACCCAAGAGACGACGCCAACGAGCTCATTATCGACAACGAGAGGGCCGCCACTGTCACCCTATAGAAAAAGTATGACAAAGAATTCTTAATTAATAATTTATGACAGTAAGCGACAAAAGAGCATCGAATAATTAGAAAACTTTATTTCGTTAAAAATGCCGTATTTAATTGACTTACTGTTGCTTAATGAAAAACTATACTTAATACTTTTAAGATACATTATGCATAAGATAAAAAGTAAGAGTATACTCACTTGGCAAGCACCTTGCCCAACCTTTTCCAGCGTACAGATGTGATTTTCGCTAGTACGTGGATTTTTATGACCATGCAGACAGCGCTCTTGGCTCAAAACGTTCACGCTAAGCCATTTGAGCATCGACGAAGATGGTGAATTTATTGAAGTTTTTCCCCATCCGCTTATAATACCGCGCTTGCCGCCGTTAATATAGTCTTTACTTGCTAAAGGAATTGGACCTTGGATATTATTTATCTTGATCGGTTTGTTTAGCTACGCAAACATATTCGTCAAATGACGTAAGTCGATTAAAAAGAGAAATAATTGAGATTGTTTCTTTTATACGACACTTTCTTGTTTGCATTCAATATGATTAACTTGATCAACTTACGGTTATAACAGCGATGTCGTGCTTCCAGCCGCCCTCTTTTTCACCAGTGTAACTTGGGTGTATCCGAATACATTTGATGTTGTGCTTTTCGCCACCGTACAGTGTCGGACTGATAGTGCCGGTTACAACAACCTGAAAATTAAGTATTTTGATGAATTAAGGAAAAATTAGAGGACAAAAATACATTAGTGTAAAAAAATTTTTAAATACTAGAAGAAAACTGAGACAAAAACAATATACGAGAAAAGATATTAAACTCAATATTGATTGTGTGAATATTGAATATTACTTATACATATCGTAATTTAGTGCTTTCATTGTCCGATTAATTGAGAAATACCATGTGTTTTGAGTTAGTAGATGTATTAACTGAATATGACTGCATGTATCTGTTAATATTCGAAATAACTAGGAAATCAGATACGCAGATATCGAATACCATAATAATAGCCATGACATTCCGGATCACAGAATAATAATCGAAACACTATCCGAATAAATTTGATTCTGTTATTTATGATGTGAATAATATTCACATCATTTTATGAATGATTCAGAACGGAAGAAACTCAAATATACTTTTGGTTAATTAACAGAAGCAATATAAATTGATTATTTATTTAAATGTTAATTTAAATATTCCACTTTTCTGGCAAGAATGATTAATTTTCCTAAATTTCATATATCGAAATATTTAAAATATCTATTTTGAAATAAAAGTTAAGTCAGATAAAAACTAACTAATAATTTAAATAACATTATTTAATATCAACTATTTTTTATAATTATTTTATGAATAGAATAAACAAAATACATTTAATTTGTTTTTTTTTTCAAGTATTGAATATGAATTTCAAGTATTTAAATATTATGTCTCAAATTTAAATAATTGTTACATAGTAGTATAATATTACTTGGATATAAAAAAAATTTGGACTATGTAAGAGTAATAATTAAAATTTGAAATAAAAGTATACATATAATTATTCTAGGAAATAATGTAATGTAATGTAAAAATATCTTTATATATCACTGTTTTTTACATACACATTATTAATCTATTTTAATAAATAATAATAATAAAAATATATTTTCTGATTAATAATTAAATTTTGTTAATGTAAAATAATTACTTACCATACCATTTGTATAGAAATCGTCATTTACGCAATGTGCAGCAGTGACAATATGTATTGGACTAATGATGCTACCTCCACAAATATGCTCGCCATAAGATTCAAGAGAAACTTGATATTTAAATTGACCGTGTGTAGCTATGTCACCACCAACGATCCGTTCAGATTCATCGCAGGAAGTCTCTATAAGGAATTTAGATTGAAATGAGCATTATTTTGTTTAAAAATGTTTTATATTTAGTAAATACTATCCATACTGTTATAAAAACAGCAGAAAATATCTAGAACATTTATAATTTATAATCTGTTGCAGAACACAAACTAAAGACAAATTTTGTTATTGTTAGTTTTATTTTGTCGAACAGATTAATCCGTATATTTTTTCGCTCGTTTTCCTCGCTTTATATACTTATTATATATACTTATTATATACATTAAGTCTCTGATTTTGATTTACTTACGCTGAATGATGACAATCACAGCGAACAGAATAATTAACTTCATTCTCTCTCGTTGCAAATGAAATCCAGATCAAATTACGAACTGAATAGAGGAGGCTACTCACCATTTTTCCTTTTATATGCGATACGATATCTGTATTCGGTCTTGTATAACAGTTGGTGGTATTTGCACTGTGTTAGATTGCAAATATATTATGCACGTTTCTCATTCAATTATTAATGAGGTATATTCGTATCTGTAGAATTTGTATCTTCCATTACTTGAAACAGAAGAAACAAATGTAAAGAGGATTAATTAATATCTTACAAATTACCATTCTACGCAAAACATTTTTTATATGCATTTACAAATAATGGCATAACTCATACACATTTTTATAAATTGATAATTACACAATATACTATTTAATTTAATTACATACATTTTGAGCATATAAATTTAACATTTCTTATAATGAAAAACAATTATAATATATTATAATATAATACATAATTATAATATATGTAAATTATTATGGAACATATAGTTAATCTTCTTATAATATAATAATATATATAATTCAGATTTAAAAATTTTTTTCATTGTTTTTGAGATTTGCACTTTTCATCTGCTATTTTTTCATCAAATAATAATACACTAAATAAAAATTGTTTTAATAATGAATCCTTAGTTGTTAAAAAGTTGCTAAATTTTGTAATATTTATTTGTGTGTATAAATTGAACACAAAGCTGATTGTTTTTTATTAAAGTGGAGAAAAGCTACAGTTGTGAATTAAAACTCTATAAATATGTCATCCACGATCATTCCAATAAAATATTATTTTTTACTTTCTTGTAATAAAACATAACGTCAATACGTTATATAGATTTAAAAATACTATCGTTCGTTTCAAATGCCTTTCATACAGTTTCGGACTTATGGTAAAAAAATATTGACATGCATTGACAACAACTCGTTATTGACGTGCAAATGAAACTACATAAACACAAGTCGACGTTTAGTTTGTATTTTTAAATATTTCATGTACAGTATGAATGGTACGTGGCGCATAAAAAGTAATTGCATTGAATTATTTGTGACACATCGTAGAAATAAAATTTTAGTTTTTACAAATTTCCAGAAGTAACAATTGAATGAATCCATTTTGCAAGTATACAGGATAAATTTCAATGATTGAGTAATGAGTACTGTTAAAAGTCGATCAAATCTGTCTCTGTGACATACAAATCGAAATGCAGGTTGTCTCAACCAAACACATTTTGAATGCAAATTTAAGCAAACTCCAATGTAAATTTGTTGAAACTGTATACCATTAAAATGTGCATATATTTCAATTAAATTTGCCCCGACGGTCAGTGATTGATCAATTTATAATCGTCAAGTTCATTTTTTATAAACTCAATTAAAAAGCAACATGTGTCTTAATTAAATGCGTATTCGTCAGATATGCGCATATCTGTGTAATATAAATAAAATCACGCTAATTGTAATCAAGCATATTTTATATAACTAATACTTATAATAGTACACAAGTATAAAATTTTTTTAATAATTTTTATAAAAGTGTAATCAATTTAACTTAATAATTCGTAAAATGTATTAACAAATAGTTAGAAATATTAAAAATGTTATTGATATAAGATTGTGATAATAGGTTTCTTTTGAAAACTGAATATTTTAATTGTCTTTAATGTATACAATGAAATTAAAGGACACGGATTTTAAAGGTACATATAATGAATACGCCCTATGTTGAATAACAAAACACATGAACATTTAAAATATTTCTTGGCACAAACATAACTGATGCTTTGCCAATGTTTTTATCACTTATTTTCACGAGATCGATATTTTATTTGATTATGAGGTATATAATTGTATACCACGCTACTTTGTTGGTGATGGCACTATATCTTTTAAATAATTCCTTATCGATTTTTTGAATGTTCGCAAACACAGATTTCTTAAACTTCATAATACAGATGGTAATATTTGCACGCTACGATAAAAATTATGCAAATGTGGATTAAATAAAGACTGAATGATCTTTATCTTGTGTTTGTGTCTTAATCTTTTATCTGTATCAATGTACAATAATGTACAATAATTTTATCTGTATCAATGTACAATAATGTACATTGTAATAATGTACATGCTTGGAAGAAAAATACATGATATTTTCATTTAATTTATTTTGTTTATAACATATTATAACATATTATATTTTATAGCTTCAAATATTTTAAATCTTTGATATATAATCATCGTTTGCAAAAGCCCAATTATAAATAATCAAAATTATTTTAATTTCTGTAAAATAATAATGCAATTATGATGCATACGCGTGTATATAAAATAATAAAATTTAAAACATTTATATTATTAAACAAATTATTATATGAATTTGTATTGTATTCAGCAATACCTATTTCTATATATCATATTACGCAACGTAGTATATAATAAAATTAATGTAATCTTTGATATTTTATAAATTTACTCTACAGTTTGGCAAAGTGATTGATAGAGCGAAAAGAACATAACTTGAAAAAAATCGCCCATTAACCCATTAATCGCCATTAGCAATTTAATTTACTGCAGCACTTTATGTTTCAGATCAGACACCTAATACTCTGAGATCGTAACAAAACAGTATTCCGTATAAAAAATTAAATTTTATTAAAATTAATGAATTTAAATGTATTAACATTAAATATCTTTAATAAAATTATATTATTTATAAATTATTAATAGATTTATCTCTTTATAATGTTTAATTTACATAAAAATAAAAGATTCGTGGATCTACCAAAAATCGCAGTATATTTATTGTTAAAACTGACAAAACGCAATCCTCGCATTCTCAGTTCGACAGTATTCCTTGCGATAAACTTGACGTTCGTAAATATTTTAACTGGTTTAGTTTTTCGTGGCAATTTGCGTGAAAAGGGACGCTAAAAGCGAGGTTGAACGCACTATTGGGAAGGTACATTCGTTTGGCGGGCCGTTGTTTATCCGTAGCAACAAAGTTGAATTGTCCGTTAACAAAGCAAGATCGCAAACACTTTTTACGGAAAAGCGGCCTCTTTTTTGTTTGAGTCACGCACAGAGGCGGATCTGCGAAAATTAGCCACCGTTTGTCTGTCCGGCTATCGAAATCTCTCAATAGCCCCGTGCGTGTGTCGAGCTACAAAAATAAAACGAATTTAAAAAAAAAAGCAAAAAGAAATACTTGTATATACGTAAAATATGTCCAAAAAATCAACTGCATTAAATCAAGCGTAAAAAATGTACGGTGCAGGTGCATGTCATTTATAAAATTCTATACATGCGTCGTCATGTCGAGCCGTGTTCAATTTAACATGTATATTTTATTCTGAAATTCCGTATTATTATGCACTTTAATATGATATTGTGGGTTTAGCACCAATGCTCGCAGGATTTAAACGTATCAATATGTTTTGCGGTTTCAATAGTGCTTCAAGCAATCCAATTAATGCACGCACGTTGATACGAACAAACAATACACTATCTCGTTCTAATTTTTGTTCAATGAATACAAAATATTCTGATTTTTTAACGCCTATTGTTTCAACACGCCTATTATTTTCTCGAAACTATATTTCTATTTTTTACAATAAAACAAAAGGGATTTATTTTCTTCAAAAAATTAAACAATTTATTATGTGTCATTTATGATATTAATTATTCATTGAATTAATCTCTTTGCCAAATCATAAAATAATTTCTTCATTATATCTCTAATTTACGGTTATTTCTGTAATCATGAATTGAATTTATTTTTTAATATGTAAATATGGTTTCAATAACTGTATTTCAAGTGTACATTCTGTCTCAATTGAATAGCAGTGCTCATGTAGCCTCGAGTCAGAATAAAACTCAAAACTATGAAACTTTGAAAATTAAGCTTTGTCTAAATTTCTCAAAGCTGTGTAAAAATATTAAGTCGCATCTTAAAATCTATATATTGAATTATATCATGTTTCAAGACTGGTTTCTAAATTTGTAAACAGAAACGCGATGATGAATACATGAACTTTAAAGTATTGTTTTAATAATTACATTTATAGTTAAATATAAAATTATTCTAGTAATTCAATATTTTATTAAATATTTAATAAAAGCAATCGATTTGAGAGTCGTGTGGAGAGCAATCACGATCGAGCTGATCTTTAATTTGAGCGCAGGTGAAAGACGGGAAAGTGGAAGATACGTGAAATTTATCGTCGTGGACGATGCCCACTAACGAATGTGTCCCAGAGGGATAGAACGGGTGGACAATGCAGTTTTCCAATTTTCATCCCCCCCACCCCGACGGGTATTCGAGCCCATGTTCGACCTGGCCAGCTAGCTCTCCGCGCGTGCTTTCATCCTTTATCATCCGCTAGCCGAACAATCATAAAGCATGTTGATTCACGGTCCGTCGTAAATTTAGTGTTATTTTATTCTTGCTTTAGCTTAGCTTAAGCGGCACTTTTAACGATCCCCGATGCGCCGATCGAATTGCATCGTACCTCGTTAGACGCGTTCGTCGCACTCGTTGACTTCTCTACAATTGTCACGTGACATCCACCGACATCCGCCAATTTAATTGTACGCCGCACGATCTAATTAATTGCTACAACTCCACGAGTCTTTTATCTAAATTATTTGTCTTCCCTCACACAGAGGTATTTAAATTTGATCGAGTATATTGACGCTTTGCACATTACATCTTTTACATGTGACGTTAATACGAATTGGTCAAACCGATATTGCATTTTTGTGATTTGTGCTTTGCATGCTTTTGTTGGAAGCTTAGGTTCTTTCAAAGAAAAAGTTGCACAATATTAGAAATTTCAAGCACGCAAATGCTGCAGTTTGGATCTGAATACACGCCGGACGTTACGTTGACGCGACTGACCGAGTTTTATAGTTCGTATCACCTCTACTGCGGAGTGACAGTTATATACGATTACACTGAGAGAAAAGCTGAACCGGTATTCGTTCCGGCGACGGTGAGCAAGTAGAAGGAATGGTTGAGACAGGACGACAGAAGCCTCGTCCGGGAGGAAGAGTTACTACCGTTGCTACTAGTGCTCCTGTCCGAACTTGAAAAATAATTCAGCACGAAGTAATGTCCTGAATATAGAATGCGCATAGGATGCGTCAATTTCAAAACAGGAGTCCGGACGGCGAACAGTTGTATTTTCGTCGTATTTTCATTTAAAGATTCGGCACAGTTTGAATGGTCGTAACTCAATTACGATCGTCTCGTAAGATGAAGCCTATGAAAAAAACATCAAAAGCTTAAATTAAAGATAAAATTACATTTTCTGAGAAGATAAGAAATATGAAAAGTACTAATAAAATCATTTGTACAATATCAATATTAATAATAATATTTATTTGTAATGTTTTTTTTTTTAATATCGATATCTCTGATAATGAAATTTATTTGGTTTTACAAATTGTCAAGTCTAAAATGCATGTTCAATAATAAAGAATATGCTTAGAACACGCCGTCACGTTCAGTGGTAAAGGAAGCACATAGCTGCGGCGTGAAGTTCAGTAGTAAATGGAGTGTTCGCTCTTTACGACGCCCATACATCATTCAAGCATGAAATTGTCAAATACTACTAGATAAAATGTGGCTTGCTTCATAAACTTTTAGCGACAGATATTTAAAAATAGACAAATTTTGTTCTCAATTGAGAATTATATATTAGAAAATAAAGCATGACGGAAATCATAAAATTTCGATCATGAGTACTGTCAATCATTACGTTGCTTAGCTGAAAAGAACATTGTTACTCTGTATATTGCATACATAAAGCATTAAAAAAGTATAGTTAATGCATTCGTTGTTCCTTTGGTCGTCCTCTCTCATTGCGCAGACAATTCACCTTTGTGATCAAATATGTAATCTTGTCTGTCACACTGTGACTTTTTGCCTATCTTATTTGTAATTCATAACACATCAAAGCGCTACTCAAGCGCGAGCTAACGGTGTAATGTTGGTAGTAAAATTGCGAATTTAAGGAGAATTATGTCTTCAGAATTCACGATGCATGACAAGAGAAATTGCCAACCGCTATATCACACGCACATTCCCGCACTTGACAAATTCGAGTTATGCGACATGATTTTCCTTTACATCGAAATAAACATGAATAAGCGAACATCTTATTTGATATTTATAAGAGAGGCTGGAGCATAATTCAACAGCGATTATGTCGCCTGAATCTACTTCATGCAATACACAAACCAAATAAAAATTGAATTG